TGAGCGCAATGCAGGGGAGAATTTGGGAAGAGCGATATGTGATCTTCAACAGGCTGTTGGCACAGTTGGTCGGGTGCTGGATGTGCTTTCTAGAAGTGGTAGGTTGGATTCCTACACGGCCTGTTTAAGGGGGGACCACGGCTGCTCGTCGTGAAATAGTACAGGAGGAATTATTGAGGTTTTCCCACGAAGGTTTTCCCTCAATACATGGTCTTAGGATCATGGTGAATACGTTCCTACCTATTCGACCCGATGTAACTAGCGTGAGGCACGTTTTTGGAAAAGTCAGGCACCGGATGGGCTTTGCTGGAGAATGGAGGAACTTGCATTCTAGATGTCCTCCATGCGTGTCATGTCCATTGGATGGAGGGTGTAAGCCTGGCACGATAAATACAATCATCATCATCACACTGCTAAGTACACGGTATCACGTGATATATAGAATCCACTACAATCTTTCCTCAATTGTAGGAACAAGCGCTTGTCCTCCTTTGGGGCTGTCTGGGTCTGGGGTTGCCTGTTGATGCAAGCCTTCGCGGAATTTGCACGTTTGGCGACGTCGGTAGCTTGGCCGCGTTGCGGGATACTGTCACCCAGGGCGAGCTGATGTCTTGAGGCTTTGAGGGTAGGGCGTGGCTGTGATCCTCAACAGCTGTATTTTTCCTAGGCGCGACTGGTTTGGGAGTGCTTACCATGGTGGGGGGGCTTCTTACTTGGAAAGTTGGTTACTTCTACCTGATCTACTGCGAAGCCAGTGATAACAGGCGTGATGTTTTTCAGCAGAGTCGCGACAACTGCTGCTGCTTGCTTCTCTCCTTTACTCTTAGCCCAGGATTCGATTAGTTCAAGAAGTGCCTGGGCTGTACCTAACCTTTCTTGCCTTTTTTGTTCTGCTTTTTGCATTTCGTTTACAATGTCAAGCAGGCTTGGATGAAGTTGCCTTCCTGGATTGGAGGGCGTTGTCAATGACGATGCAATAGCTGGGGTCATTGCACCGGTTGGAGGTTCTTGCAGAATCGGTAATGGGTAATGCGATGTGGGATGGGTCCTCAGTGTGGCGCGACATCGGGTTTTGTTTTGTTTTAAATCTTTTTCTCACCAAAGCGGCTTACCGTCTTCATGAATCTGTATATAAAAACCGCACATTACGTTAAACTAGAGAAATGCATTCATTCATTCACTGATCTGTGCGATGACCTGCAGGGATACCCTCGTACAATGACTGAAACACAAAACACTGTAAATTTTCTGGGCTGTTTTGGGGGCGCTGACACGTCATTAAGAAATTCAAAAAAAACTACTTCATAATGAACGAGTTCAATAAAAACGAACGTCAGTAATCTTACTATTTTTTCTCTAATGCTGAAATTACTAATATCTTATAATCACTCTAGTATTGACTTGACGGTCAACTTTCACATCAATCATTCCAAATACTTTAAGAACTTTGTAAGGAGAAATCATCAAATGAATTTCCGGAACATAATCAGCTATTGATACAGCATTGGCGGATTGGATCAAGTCGATTCTTGTTATAAAGAAGGGAGATTTTAACGAATAACGCACCTCGTATAGCTTCGACGTGTAGACCTTGCCAGTTTTTGGTTACAGATTATTTTAGAATATTCTCTGAGCACGTTGTTTTTGGAGCTAATTCGAGTTATTACAAAAAGGAGTGCCGAGTTTAATGCTTAACTACTGAGCTAACTGGCCATTTATAATTGCTAATATTACCGAGGCCAAGTTTAGTGGTAAAAAAGGATAAGAGCACCATTTAGCGTGTGACCTGGATCAGAGGAGAGCCTAATTAATCAGCCCGAAACTCTAGAAGCTTAATAGGCGTCAACATTGGAGGTCAAAGACTGAAACCCCTGTTCGCGGTGTCCTCTACGAACCTGGGAGTGAAATATTCTCCCAGAGCCAAGTTTAGTCCAATTTCGCAATACCGAACAAGTGAGCCCTCGAGGCAATGATTCAAATTACTCTACGTTAATTTTCACTCCCAAAGAGATCGACTCTTACCTAAGTCTTATCAATTCTATAAGTACGGCCTAGTACTTCCTCATTCTAATGATCACACCTCTCTTTGACTTTCTCTGGCCACAGCTGGTCACCAAACACACGCCCACGCCGATATTTACATCCGACGGAGGAAGCAAAGCGTGGCGCACAAATCTGGGAGACTGTTCTTTGGGATGGACGTGAGAGGATTTAGGACAAGTTCACAAGATGATGCGAAGGATGGATACAGTCTCGACGGGCATGGAATTTTGAAATTTGGAAAGGAGTTTTTACAAATTGAGCTTTGTGCGTGCCAAGACTTCGGTTGGGAGAGTGCACGCGACACTATAAACACCGCCATGGCTGGATGGTGCGATGGGACATTTTCTTGATCGGTCAGCCAAGTAAAGTATGCATAGCCTGAATATGTATCCCACTCGAGTCAGTAGATCGCTGGTTCAAATCCAGCGAAGCACAATCACATTTGTCGCGGCGCTGGTATGCTTGGATGACGAAAGCATGCTTAGCTAAACAAAGGTTTGGAAATTTCCTTTGGTGGGTACTTACGGAGGATGGGGGACTGTTTTTTTTGAGCGAACATACCTCATAGTGGCTTTGCGATTGAAATCCAGAATATGAATGTCTTTAAAGTCAGAAGAGTCATCCAATATGTAAACACAGCACCAGCTACGTGTTATAGCAAGATAGCTGCATGCATATGAAATGATTTTTTTTAATATCCAAATAACTAAGGTCGCGGGGAAGACCTTCTATTTAAATTGGTAAACATTGAAAAAAAGGAACGTATAAAATCATGTGACTATTTAATAGTTTATAGACAGCTACAACTGTCCATATATCTTAGGTTTCTTCAGGGATGGGGCTTAAGTTGATTTAGTGCCCGGTAGACATAAAAAATAAATAAATAAATATACCTTAGGTTTGCAGTGATACCGAAGCGGACGATAGGTGGGTAATCAATTGATCTATGAAGTATATTCCCTCGTGCCTGCTCCTTAACGTATTTTACAAGCTACAAAGACCAATCTACGTCATATTTCGTTACGTCATTACTATCCGTATAATTAATGAAGTTCTCTCGTCCCTGCTTTACAGAGAATTGCACAAGAATAAACTGACAAATAAACACTTACAGCTCTTCATAATCGTGGTCTCAGGAGAGACTTTAATTCTATTCTATTCCATTAGATGAAGGTCTTTGGAAGTTAAGACGGGAATAAGCACTTTTCTTCCTATGTCTGTCTTTACTTCATTGCATGCAGCTAGACTTTTTTTTACAAGGAGCTTAATTTGTAATTGTACTCAAGCCTCTGTAATCTAGATAAGGAGGTCAAATAACTCCCGGAGCTAGGAAAAATAGCAAGCAAACACAATTTCTAAGTCCGATGCCCTACTCCCCACCACAATCCCCCGAATTTATGCACCAAGTGATCAATTTCTTTGATATCACCTTTCCTTGCGCCAATTATCGCTGTATTGGCCAGCCTTTATTTCCTATCTCCAATTAGAGAAGCAAGCGCAGTGTGTCAGAAATACAAAAACTAACACCTGTCCGCTGCGTCTTCTACGAACCTTGAAGTGAAACATCATTCCAGTGTCAAAATCCCTCGGAAAAAGAGATAGTTCCAGCTTGCTCATCACTAATATTTTCCATCTCTTGCTTCTGGCCCAAGCTCTCTGTCAACTTTATAATATTTCAGACTTGTTTGAGCAAATATGCATCATAAGCCGAGATCCGAGCTTTGCATACTGTCACTTGATTTTTCCTCGCGGGTATACATAGAATTGTGAATTTATAGTTGTAGATAGGCGGTGATCGATGAGGTAAGCTCCCGTGTGCGATTGAAGCAGCTAACTGATTGCTCGTTGAGGTAAAATGGTCCATAGTAATATTGGTTTGGAGGATTCATGTGAGAAGGATAAGACCGACATGGATAAAAAGTCGGCTGTACTAGAAATGCTCGTGTTTGCTTCCGACTTTGATTCGGATTCGATCGTTGTTGTCTGTCTTTGGCATGCAAAGTTTACTGAGCGCTGACACGAGTGTTTCTTGAAGGTGAAGAAATCATTTGTGACGGCTTATGAGTACAATTTGATGAGAGGGATCGTGCTGGGTCCATAAACTTCTTAGTAATAGTATGTCTACGAGCCTAGGTTTGATCTCAGACTCAGGGGTAGTTTTATGACCCGGCTACGTTAGTTCCACATATCCTTAATGAGACATGGGTAGTCGGATGGCCTTGGATTCTAGCTAGTAATCATCTCTTTACAAAGCCTACATGCTACCCGCGCATCTTCCAGATAATCGTTCCCCATCTAGTTCGACAATACTTACAACGTCTGCATTTGTTCTTGTTCATACTTTCCTATCGGACGGATTTCGTAATGGATCGTGCTTTGGATGAGATTGTTGCAGAAAGCCATGTGAGCATGTCCAGTTTAAAAACATAACCCGGACCCTCAGTGAATAGCCAGCTGATAAAAATGCTACAGAATCAAAATCGGACCCGCGGTCGATTTCAAGGACGGCGTGGCGGTCGCAAACCCGAACGCATCGATTATCCTCGTGAGGGCGTTAGAAAGGTCAGTAGACACTGGATTGCCTCTTCATACCAAGCTCAATTTTGTCCTCCCAGGTGCATACACCTCCTCCTTTCTCATTCCTCGTTCATTCAAATATTTTGAAAACTTCGGACCCTCTACAATCGAATCCACTACTTTCGACAGATTGAGCGTCGGTGCGGGAAAGTATATCACTTGAACAAATCAGCTAACCCAGGCCTTTCCTTGCTCTACACAGTCGAGGCGAGATGATAGTAGGAACATAGACTCGTAATCTTGTCGATTTCCTTTTTATTTACAGAACTAATGTCACGCCTAGGGAATGGGTCCACGATAAGTTTGACGATCATAGTATAATTGATCTCTCCTCACATGTTCAATTTTTTGCCAACACACCTTCAGCTATAGGTCGAAGGATGGGTCGCACAGATAGACGGTTCTCGCCCACTCCAGATTAGTAAGTTCTTGAGCTCTATAATAGGTTTTAATATTGATATGTATTGCTTATAGCGAATCGCCAAGCGCGAAGCTCCGAGTCGAGAATTTACATTACGACCTCACGGAGGATGACTTAGACGTTAGTATATCTAGACCCAAAAGTCTGAGATGACAATTTAAACCCTCGCATAGGACCTTTTTAATAGAATTGGACCAGTAATATCATTATCACTAATTTACGACCGAGCTGGTAGGTCTGAGGGTATTGCATATGTCACCTACGAGTCTCCATATGATGCAAAGAAGGCTATCCAGGAATTCGATGGCGCAAACGCAAAGGGTATGTATTCATCTGAAATAATTGATGACTCAAACTAATAAATTCAGGCCAGCCAATACGTTTGATATCTATTCCATCCGGCCCAAGTAGACGTCGGAATCCACCACCGGGTCGATCCCTATTCGAACGCATCACTCCTGTCAACCAGCATTCAAAAACTACATCCAACTTTTCTAGAGTCAATCAAGATCGCTCAACGTCACAAGTAACTGAAGGTTACCCATCTGGAAAGCAGAGTTACACTAGTAGCCCTCGACCCCCCAGAAATGAGGGGCACAGACCTGGTATGCGAAAAGATAGAGGCGAAAGACTCGGAATGGGTAGTGGTCGAGATCGATTAGCCAGAGACGGTCGTCCTAAAAAAACACAGGAAGAACTTGACGCGGAAATGGAAGATTATTGGGGTGCTAATAATAATGCTTCAACGGATTTAAATGCCCCTGGCTCAGCATCTATCACCGCAGACGACCAAATGATAGAGTAACAAATTGAATGGTAATTCGAGAATGATCAGGACGCATCAATTAAAATTATACAATGTACCATCACCTCGGGGAGAACTTATACGGCTCTCCGTAGAATCTATGATTTCTTGTCGATTATTCGTGGGACACAGTATATCTAGTTATTCAATTACTGGATTGGCATCTCCCGCAGGCTTTTAGATATTGATAACAGTGGTACGTGCTACGTGCTATGGGAATGAGCGGGCACCATCTGAATCGCTCACACCAAAAAGTCAGGACCCAAGATCAGAAATCCAAAGCCATGGAATCATTGTCTAATTATTCTAAATTCTTAACCAGCATTTTATTCCTGCCATGATCAATTCATGTTATTGTTTTTACGCCAGGCCATCGAAACGAGATGAAATATCTTACATCTGAAGTCTCAAGCCCAGCCTTAAATTGCGAGGACAATCGTCGACCATATTATTAGAGACAAGACTCTTACGTGACCAATTTAGCCCCTTCTGAATCTATCTTTCCATGTAAAACTAGCAAGTTATATAATATTTCGGAAGTTTTGCGATAAGTATCCTTACCTCAAGTTAAACCACGAAGTTTAGTATCTTGCGCAATTCGATGCGTAGAGCTTTTCATTAAGCAATCTTCACTCTTCACGAACAATTCAATAAAACCTCGTCAATCCCCGTGGTATGTATTGTATATTCGCGTTTTAAGAAATATCCTTAATCACAATATCTGAGAGCATAGTTTCGATGACAAAGCATTAGATCGCTGTAGTAGGGACATAGACGAAGATTTGCATTATTCACATGGCTAATATTATTAAACCGCTGCCACTCTACGTCTCGTACCGATTGCTCGACTTTTTTTTGTATTTATTATTCAACTGAGCCTGTAACTATGTAATGACATGTGGAGCTCACAGCGCCCCTAGTTTTTGACAATGTACTTGTGAAATGATGCCACGTAACCCAATCTGATTTGATAAAATTAAAAATAACTCCCGATCTGAAACTCCAATGAAGACAATTTTGTGTACCTACAGCGCACGAGGCGACAGGAAAGTGATCAGTTAACACAATAACTTTCTCTTGTCGTATTAAAATTCATCTCATGCGGCACCATTGACTGATTCAATTACCTCGGGATATCTTAGTCCCGAGTTACCAGGCCTCTCTTATGCAACCATACATTATTCGTCGGCCGTGTCGACACTCTGCGAATGTTTGAAATAGCTCATATCTATATTTTTACCACTCAAGTATCTACTCTGTTTCTAAACATCCAGTTTTGGATGAAAGACTACAGTGAAATGTACGTCACAAGACTCTTCTGGTACTGGAGAGATGAACACTCTCGATGACCATGATAGTAGTGTTAGGTAGTAATTTAATAAAAACAACGCTATCAACATACACTAATTCGTAAACTCCCAGAGATTCAGCTTTGGAACCTCTAGTAAGGTTTGTGTGGAGTTGTGTGATGGTAGTAATATCATAGGAATAACGACCCCTCAGCCATTGAGGTTGTAAACATTCACGTTTTAATTAGATTGAACTCCTATGCTAAAGCTCTAGGTCCACTATAGGCACAAGACTTGTGGAGCCGGCGGGGATCACTGCTAACAGGCCCAACTCATTCCAACTGCGAGACCCGCTACAGAAAAAGTAGTAGGTAAATTATAACTCAGAAGACACCACCTACTCCAACTCCTAAATCGAGACTCCATCCTTCAACCCTAAATTCAAGTACATAAAAGATTTCCTCAGAGAAACGAAACTTCTCGCATCGATCCCTTTCGTGTCATGTGTTGTGGCAATGACTAGTTTATCTGATACCCGCTGAGAGCAGTGGATGAGTGAGCAGGTCGTATATCAAAACAGCCGGTTTCCTGCGCAAAACTTTTGAAGCTATCGTGGCACTTGGGCCCGAGAAGCTTTTTGATAAAGTCAGCGTGGGACATTGACTTTCTGAGCCTACGCCGTTGTTGTGCGTGGCGGCTACAATTGATAAAGTGGGTTGGAGTAGTTTCCTTCCCGCAAGAGCACTTCATGGGAGCGTATGGATTATTAGATCGGCGATGGTATGCCGCAAAATTGCCGTGACCCGTTCGTGCTGCGATTAGTGCCCGGAGGAGGTGCCTAGAGAGACACAGTTCGGGTGGTTTGCGTCTCCGCACCTGTAGGTCGAGTTGGCAGTATTGAGGCGGACAGGCCTCTTCCCACCAGTCGTCTAGCAGCCTCTGTCGTCTGTGATTCATGAGACCATGTAGATATGCCAGAGTACATGATCCGGGTGGTGTATCCTGGCAAGGTAACTCTCGAAGGGCGGCGCGGGCAATAGTGTCTGCCTCTTCGTTCCCTTGTATCCCTGCGTGCTCTGGCATCCATTTTACCAATACTTTTGGGACGTTACTTAATGCACGGAAGCTGCGTACATCTTCTAGGCTAGTTGAGGGAGACTATTCTCAACATCTGTCAGTGGTGTCCCCTACGAACCTCCAGCTCTCACTGTAGAGTCTGTAGAGCTGAGATTGAGTAACACCTTATCAACTTTGAACTGAGTTATCTCCCCCTCCGTCAAAGATACGCTTCCGATAACACATAAGACGACAAAGACGACGATAATGATGCTGGGAATGAGGAGAGATAATGCGGTACCAAACGCTACAACGGTAGTCAGAGAAGCCCTCGTTATATCACAACATGTGCTACCCACCGGCGGGCGAGCAGAAAGCCCACGAAAGCAAAGTAAAAGACCCTTCCGCCCTCGAGAAAGGCATATTTCGACTCGTCTACATTATCGTCCCTACTAATCATAACTTCCGAATCTACTAGCCAGGAGGGCATCTAAAATACATGAGTTACTCGACAACCCCACGTTCGTAACGACTTTTGGATGCTAGGCTAGGCTTCTTCACGATAGTCACTCTCGACCAAGACTTTTCTGACATCCTTTCACGACCTACGATTTGTTCTGCGGCATGAATCAGGGGAGGAGTAGGGAGGAGGCTAGGAAGGTTGAGAGACACTCTTAGGTATACACAGGTCTACTGCGCCCGGCTGGCCGGCCTCTTCGTCATAGGAGAGCCCCGCACCTAGTGGTTTTTGAGACTTTTCCCAGCAGGTACACACCCGCAAATGGCCATCGTTTCGTTGGCTGGAGAGGGGAGATAATAACGGGATGACGGCTTCTCTTAGTGTGTACTCGAATGAAGACCTGTGGGATATTACTGCTGGGAAGAAGTCGTGAGGGAGGCAAAGGAGGGAGTACACTACCCGAGGCATAGATACTCCCGGCCTGTAGGCAGAAAGGAGCTACATGTCCTTACATAGTTGTAGACTTTTTAGGACAATAAACACTCACTCACTCTAGGCTAGTTGAGGACGAGCCCGTCGTTAGTGCGCTTACAGCCTGCTGGCTGTCTAGAAACACGTATATCTGCCACATACCTCCACCTTTCCTGAACTGCTCTTCTTCCGTAAATTCCAGTGCAGCCTCCAGAGCCTTCCTTGCTCCTGTTATTTCTGTATCCAGCACCTCTCCCCCGTGCTTGATGCCACTTCCTTTGCCGATGAGTTTCCCATCCTTTTACAGAACGAAACCTCAGGCGGAACGTCCGTATCCTTCCGATGAACCATCCGAGTATGCGCAAATGTCCGTTCCTAGCACCTTGCTAATCCGTCTCACGCAACCTTCGCGTTCCATTGGCTTTGAGCCTGATTTCCTAGGGTAAACCACCGGCATCAGACTTTTAGGGGCTTCTGCTTCCGGAAGCTCTCGGTAGGAACGCTGTGACCGTAACATCTGGATTCCTGATCTGGCTGATGTTTTGGCGGTCTTTTTATATTTTTGGGTGCCGATATTTGGGCACACGGAAGCGCGTATCCTCAAAGGGTGTCGGTCGTCATGGGTCTTAAGTTTTGCCGAAAGTCGGAGTCGGTTTCCCTCAAGTATGACCTTTGCCGGCGGGATTCCTCCTTTTCTGTGAAGGACTACATTTGGTGTTGTCCTCATTGCTGGAAGCGCAGCCCGTAGTCCCATCAGGTTCGCTCTATCAATCATGCTGCATAGGTTAGACGTAGATGACGTGACCATTCCTCGTATAGTTGGGTATTTAGACCCTGGCCACCAGACATCAGATCCAAAGGTTGCTAGTGAGACAACGCACATTTCTACTGCCTTAGATAATGGCCCAGGAGCTGCTCCCCGAAAGGTAGAATTGAAACGCCGCATATGCTGTGCAGCTTTTATCGCTTTCTCGCACCACGTAGTTACGTGGCGTTTGAAATTGAGTCGAGGATCCAAATATACGCCCAGCCATCGAATATGATCAGCGGGCTCGATGAGATTTCCATTCACGTGAACCCCAACTGCTTCTTCTCGGCGTCGTCCTGAGAATTGGATGACTTCAGACTTTTCCATTTCGAAGGCAACGGAATTTGTCCCTGCCCACTCGAGAAGATGGTCTACCTCTCTTTGTGCAGCGCTGGCAGATTCAGCAACTCTGCGTCCAAACCCTAGAATTCCAATATCATCGGCGTAGCTAAACCTCGATCCTGGGTTGCCACTTTTCATCGGCTCCGCCCTATACAGAAGGAATAGTAATGGCGACATTGGGGAGCCCTGCGGGACTCCACAGATCAACTCTCTCTGGATGGTGACTCCGCCGGAAAAACGCACTTGAACTTTCCGGTTTGTGAGGAATGAGTCTGGCCATCCCAGGGCTTGCATGCGCCTAACCAAGCGATTGTGGAGCACTGCATCGAACGCTCCTTGGACGTCTAAAGTTACAAATGTCGAGGCCCATCCCTGGGAGCGTGCTTCTTCGACGTCGTGGACTACGCAGGAGACTAGGTCCGTTGCAGATCGCTTTGGGAGCGCACCAAATTGTTGATGGCCAACCACATCATGAGTGATTGCGAGGTACGCCATTCGCTTGGCAAGAAGTCTTTCTAATCCTTTGCCTAGGCACAAGATTAGAGTGATTGGTCTCCAACCTTTGATTGAAGTT